AGTCTGGTACAGCTACACCACAAATACCCTGCAAGTTTACCGAGTGGAGCGCTGGAATGACTGGAGAGGGCGGAATAGGAACTGGAAAAGTCGGGCTTCCTTCTGCTCAGTCTCTGTGTGTCAGTGTGTAGTCGTGTGTGTGTATATGTGTTAATAAGTGTTGCTTAATTTTCAAAAAAAAAAAGTTCTGTGTTGTTTTCACCTCCTGATGTCAGTGGCCTCTGCGTCTTCCTGCTCCGCCACTAGCCCCGCCTCCGGACCGTGGCGCCTTGGCCCTTGACTGCGATTGCGAGGGTGAGCGCTGAACCCCACTTTACTGGGCTTGTCCTTACTGTCAGCTTGTTTAGGGGGCTTTGGGAGCTCTGGTTCTGTGTGGGGCGGTGGTGGTGGCGGTATAGGCCGGCGGTGCTCAGTGGGTGTTCCAGCTGGAGATGGGGCCATAGACGAACATAGGCTGAGACTGTCACACAGAGCTCCCCAGTTCTGTTCACACTGTAGTCGAACACTACGAGTTAGTGCCTCTTTCACCTCCTCCCCACAGCTTAAGAGGATGTTCACCAGCTCCACATATGGGCTACACGCACAAAATAATAAATCAGACCTTCAGACACTGGGAGAAACCATAAAATCAAATGCTAATCCATGCAATGACTATACATGGAAGAGTTACAAGAAAAGTAAACAAGAACGAGCAGTGAGAGCAAGTCTTTACAAGATGTTCACCCATTATAATCAAAGCTAAATGCAGGTTAAAAAATCATCCATGAGTAAGAATGGGCGATATGCCATTTTCACAGTTATATTATGATTTTGATGTACTTTATATTGCTTTAAAGAGGTAACTAAAGCCATCATCTTCTTCTGAAAGTTCACACTTCCTTTTGATTAGTTAAGCCCACATGTCCTTCATAGTCAGAGTATTATAGAGGCTGACCAATATGAGGAATGGGGTTTAAAATAGGAGGTCTGGGCAAAGGTGTATTTGAGCATAGATTTGTATTAAACAGAGAAACAATGATGATCTGACAATAATAGCACCAATAATAGCAGATGATTGTAGGGATGAGATCATTAATTATTTTTTAACGCCATATCATCCAGCCCTACATGAACATGTAATACAGCATTACTAAAGTAGAAGAATGAAAACACAAATCTTATTTATAGAAAATCAGGTGGAGAGGTTTGGGCATATTATTGTATTGTTTTGTTTTAGTACTGATGTAACATTCTGGCACAGCAGTGGCTCTAATGGAATTTGTTCTTTTAGAAGTAAACTATTTGGATTCTTGTGAGCTTTATGCCATGTTATAATCAAAATCATACCTGGAGCTGTGTTTTGTTTCATTCACACATGTCTGAGTAATCCTTTATTATTAGTCTGTCTACATCTCCAGAGCTCAAAATGCCTGGTTCCACCTTGTGATGCCATGTAATGGTTTCAAGTTAACAACTACCTTTTACCTTTAGTTTAGTAGAGATTGGCAAATCTGGGGCTGAAATAATCCAAATGATTTTAGTGAAGGTGTATGGAGTTTGAAAACACAGCAGAGCACTTCCTGTATTACCATATGACATTGCAAGGTGAAACAAAAAGTCTTCATCTTGACAGAAGAAAGCCTAAATATGCAAGATTTGTGTGTTAAACATGTGTAACTGAAACACAGCTCCAGAGGTAAACAACATTATAACATAGATCAGAAAATAGTGATATGGGCCCTTTAAGAATAATCTCTCAACTTACCCTTTGGGAAACAGGTCCTGGAAGTGGATCATCTCCACCATGACAGCCACATTCTCCTTGGCGGCAGAGCACAGGTTGTGTTTGATGTAGCATTCTCGCTGCAGCTGAAATACCATCTCCTTTATGGACACACACTTCCGACTGATGCAGCTGAACTTGTGCCGGAGCCCGTGAGCCATACATTTGAGAGCGTCTTTGATAAAGGACTTTCCCTGAACAAATATATAAAACAAATGCATTAGCAAAACATTACATTTCCATAATATTTACTTAACTGGTAGTATCAACAAGGTCCAAGGACAGAAGGTCACAGGGATGGTGCGAGCTATGGCATCTGACATACAAAAAAATTAAAATGCATCAACATGCGATCTCCAGAAATGAAAAACTAAAAAGATAGACAAAAATATCATAAAATCAACATAAATTTAACTTTAGAGGGCCATAAGATATTTATGTTTTTCAGAATGTGATGATGTCATTCTTTCAGATGAGGGGGCAAGAGTCAGACCTTCTCATGATTACATCAAATTTGCATAATGTTGAATCTGATCAATTCTGTTAGTGACATGACCATAAAACTAAAATATGTAAATATTATCAGCATGAAGTATGACGTGATCAGAAACTCTGCCATAGCATTCTATTTGTGCCAATCTTCTGTCAGGATAAACTGACAGGGTTATGTCAGTACGTGCAGCTTGGAAATCACTACACTCTGAAAAGAAGTAGTTGGTATAGACCTAAAACTCAAAACAAACAAACTTGTTCATAAAATATGGTTAAAGCATCAGTGTGGTATGTGATATGAAAGTGTGACTATGCTTTTTAATGGGGTGATTAAAATGGGTGAGAATAGCAGTCAACTGTGTCATTCTTGTGGTCAGCGTAATCTGCCAAAAATGTGAGTTCCTATATGTGACCCTATAGACATATTAAGACCCCAGTCAGGCCTGGCTTGGCACTGCTGCACTCTCCACTGTGTATGAAAAAGGAGCTGACAAGGCTCCACGCCAGCTGGCTTCTCCTGACCCCCTATCCCAACTGTACATGCACCGTCTACTGAGAGGGAAGTGGATGTCCCAAGAGAGGAAAATGGATTACAAGTTTATGTATGACTGAAAATCTGCGAAAACTTCCACCACTTGAGGCATGCTAAAGTAAAAAAAATAAATCAAATTAAACAAATGTGTTCCTGAGCGCAGTGGAGCAGCGATAAGCAGGAGGAATGTTGCCTGTAGTTACAAAACACAATAGAGTTGTATACCTGAGAGTCGAATTTGCCAGCATTGTGTAGAAACGTCATGCAGATTTCCTGAAGCCCCCGAATCTCACAGGAGTTATTCTCGAAGCACTCGAACACACCACAGCCCACATCTCCCGCGTTCACTAGGCAATGCTGGATCTCAGCTAAAGAAAACAATATAGAGCGGTTAGGTTAGAGGAGGGACCATATTGTTAAGTGCACAGCAGAGACAGGGGCACATTGTCAGGGGCAAGTTGGCAGGCAACCCCCCACCCCCTCTCCTCATCTGCTGCACCATGGCACACAGCTCCTATGGCTCTCATGCAGGTGGCAATTTGAGATTCAGAGTGATTTGTGCATGTCTTTGCTTTGCTCGATGAAACTAAACAAAGTGGCAAGGGAAACACTACAGAGATATTACTGTGTCATTCTGCAGCAAGCTCCATCTGCAATGGCTGGCATAGAGATGGTGCATTGCAGATAGAACACTTGTGAAGGAAACATTAGCACAGTTATAAAGTCAGCAGGCATCAACAAGTGGCTTGTGTGACATTTATTGGCTTGCATCATCAGAATTCAAAGGGCTAGAAGGGTAACATGGTTTTAGGATAATCACGATTCATTTAGATAGGCCAAGTAAATGCATAATGCTATGTTGTGCACATGGCAATCTGGCCCCGGGCTGCTCCTCTCTGTCTTCTAAAGCCATGGCAGCACAAGCAGAACAAATGAGTGAGGACATAAATTACTAGAAGAAAGTAAAGTAACCTCAAATTGCTGTCTAAGACCATAAGTTACATATAATTAGACGTTATGAGATTACCAGCAAGAGAGTCGTTACAGAAACAAATGTTGCGGAATTAATGCGATCGTTTGATAGCCCCTTTATTTCCAATTTAATATGGAAAAATGCGCGCAACGCCAAGAAGCCATATGGAGTTACAGTTTGGCAGCGAAAAGCCAAACTGTTGACCTACGTAAAACATAATTACACGCGTGATTTGTCTTGGAGCTGATAAGTGATGGGCGTGAGAACATTTTTTACCACCAGTTGCGTCAGGACGTCTCGAGACCACAGCAAATGACGACTAACATAAAAAGTTATTAGAAATCTTGTCAACAAAGAAAGCTCTGTTTCGGGGTGATGTTGGGAGCGTGGCTGGGTTCAGGGGGAAGGGGAAGAGTTGGGATTTGTAGGAGTTGAACTTAAGTGCGCAGGAAAAGTGAGCCGCTGTCAGCAGTGCTTGTTTTGGCATTACGAGAATGTGCTTGGATCGTACGAGCCTTAGCCGCAACGTGCATTGAATTACACAGTGGTGTTACCAGCTCATATGCTGAAACCCACTTTAGAAAATAATAATAATAATAATAATAATAATCATCATCATCATCATCATAATAATAATAATAATGGTGTGCGTGAGTGTGGATAGCAATTATGAGCTCAGGTTTTGGCGCAGGTTGTGGCCAAGACGCACAACTCTTAGCTCTCAAAGTAAGCGCATTAAATGATGATAATACTATTCCCACACAGCTTTATGACATAATAAGGACAAGTTCTCCAAATGGAGATCTTGCTTCGGGCATCGCTCCACTAACCTGTTTAAACATACCACCTTCAATTAGACCTTGATTTCTCCATAATGTTACCTATTACGCACACGCCCCCGAGGCGCGCACACACCTCGTATACATTACCTATTACCTTGTGCTATTCTATTAATAGTTTACTAACATATTGAATTTCTGTCTGAGTGTATTTACAAGATATCTAATGTCTAAGTAATCAAAAGGGCAGCGAGATTTGAGTTAAAATAGTCACATAAAGAGTCCTCTCTCCTTCACGGCTTTGCCACAGAGAACACGTGTCCCACGCCACGCAGATGTGTTGCGCCAATCATTACATTCTCCGCTGATCGTGCACTCACCTGTGTTTTGTAGGGACAGGCGCCCTTTCTGGCTCGCTGGCTTCTCCGGGGGAATATCGTGACTGTGAATGTCCGTATTATCCGAACGCACTACTTGCTCCAGCACTGACAGAACCAGCAGCGCCACGGCCACTTTGACAAACATTGCGTCTTTTGCTTCTCGCTCCCCAGCAAAGATCCCCAGTCTGCGTGGTGTGGTGCTGCTGGAGCGGTGTCTTCTATAGGGCAGCTGCAGGACTGGCGGAGTGTGCACACGCTGTGAAGGGATGCTGCCTATATTTCTCACCGAGCCCTGGGTGTCAATTTGGATGAAGGAGTTAAGCAGGTGTTGTCGGCCGGGGCTCCAGGACCAATCAGAGACGCAGACATCCACGTCCAAGGTTTTAGGGGAGTGTCCAGTGAAAGTCCCCGTTTTGCCATAAAACTCGAGTCATACCAGCATTTATGATCAAGTTTACTTTGATGGTTTAGCAATAAACACAGTCTTTATATTGCAAAAAATATATAGCATACATTCTAACTTTTACCTTTGAGACAGTTCTCTTTACTGAAGAAAAAATGCATGAAACAGCAACCAATAGTAGAAAGTCTACTTTTTTCCAATAAATGTGATAGAAGAAGAAAGAATAGTGCAAAAGCCATAAGGCTGTTCTATAATTCAAAATAAGCAAACTGTGGAAAGGTTCCTAGATGGTCCTTTAAACTAGGTTGTTTTGGTGGAGTAGGGTGCGTGTGATATTTAGTCCTCCTGTATTGAATCACAGACTAACTATCGTGGGTTTGGCCATTATTTGGTATGGGAAAGGCAAGTCTTTTTCTATTTGTAAGGTGTGGTGCCTTGATTTGTGCATTGAATGATGAGGCCTATAATACCACAAGAATTATTTTCTAGAACTATTGACTACTACTTGAAGAGACGGAGTTGGTAGACACAAAGTAGTTCCTCAGGTAAAAACGTATTGAGCGCATTCCGCAGGTTATCGTTGCACTGGACGTCAGGTTTGAAGAGCTGATTGGCTGAACATGTTAATTACAAATAATAGTGCAGCAAGGAGTGTAGCAGCAGTTGTATTAGAAGCCTCTAGGGGGCCCACTGCACTTATTATACCTCCCGCGGTCTATTTAATTAGGCATACACGTTATAGAAAAGAAAAGTATTAACTTTGGACCTCTGCCGTAATGCATGTTATGAGATAGGCCTACTTACACAATTAGTATAACATCCAAGAAAACCCAAAACATTGTTAATTAAGCCAATTAGTCCATGGTTGTACTATTTTGCATGGATATTAAAGGATACGAAATAAGACGAGAGTTAGTGGTATTGGCCGTTACTGCAATCTACAAAGCATGATATAACCCACAGACCAAGGCTATATTTATACTATGAATGAAATTAGCCCAGAGTAGGACTTGGCGCTTGTACATTAACCTAACCAAAATTACGACCACTTATAGTTCTAAATATAGATAATTATTACCCCAAGACTGTATCTATCATTCTAATTGAGGTTTGAGTCTGTGGAGTGGATCTGAAAGTGCCTCCATAGCTTAGAAACAGGAGCTGTCCAAGAGTTAAAACCTCACATTTCAGGGTCTCTATTAAGCTGTATGCTTATGGTGGATGTGGTACACTTATTTTGCCATGAAGTAATGATAATCTACGTCCTGTATAGCGTTATCACGTTGCTTTTTGCGTTGTTATTGCATTGCTCTAACTGTTGGTCTTCTCCATTAAAGTTGTGCCAGCCTCCGCGCCGCAGACGGGCTGACCAGCGCGTAAAGTGAAATTGCAATGCAGCAGTATTTTTAAAGTCCAGTGGATTTGCAATAGACTCTCGCGGAGAGGGTGTAACGGACATGGCACGCGTCTGGGCACACATGGAGGTTTCTTGGTGGAGTGCCAGGAGCGCCTATACCACAGACCGAAATCTCTAGCACAAATTCACGTCTGTTTAAAAGCTAACCACGCTGGAAACACACCCTCGATTTGAGCCAATCAGAGACCGGCACTACGCCGGCGCGTCACGCTGCATGCTGCTGCGTTCCTAGTGAAAATATGCAGGTATGTGGTCAGGGCAACACATACTCTGGTGAAATATGAAAACACTGCTGGCTGTTGGCTAGAAATCCCTCAAACAGGCAAAATAACTGCAATAATTAAAATGAATAACTATGGAAAATGACTGACTTCTTACAGTATTAAATCAAATGTATGCACACTGTGACAGTAATCATGTCATTACAGTATTCTGGATATTTTTTTATCAGGACATGTCTAAAGTGATTCAAATTTACAACTGCCAAATGCCTTTAACTGTTGCATACAGCATTTGTTGTCTTTATGACATTGTCCAGAGAATGGCATGCTTTGACATTAATGACGGTCATTGATTTTGACTGCTGTTTTGTAAACATACCAAGAGCAGACATGTGTTCTGAGTTGGGACCCCTGGCAGGAGATCAAACAGTGGGACCACAACAGAGGGCCCGACCGAGTGTGTGCCTGGGGGGTCACTTTTCTGAGAGGTGGGCTTCTGTGACAGCAATTAATGGCACCACTTTACAGACCCCGGTTCAGGAACATGTGGAGGTAATTCAGCTTTAGAGACTATAAGATTTTAGATGTTACTTGGCCTCTTACGAGCACAGGAGAGCCATAGCATTTGAGGTGTCAAATAAAAAGATGGAGAAGTTTATATGACACCATAGCAGATCTAGCCGACAGCATTTCCCCTTCACAAGCAACGGGCAATAAATGAAAGCTGCAGGAGAGTGGATATAGTCAGTACCTTATAGGAGCATGTGATGAAATGCCCTCTATGCACAAGGATATCTTACAATTATTATCATCTGTGCAGGAGCTGAATTTAAGACAACTACCATTTTAAAAAGTTAGGCACACACCAGTCTGATATTAGTACTGGATATCGGTGCCAGTATTAAAATATTTGCTTGATGGGATATCGGCTTCCAGTTATCAGTTCAGGTGATATCATGATTGGACATACAAATTGATGTAATACGATTATTTCCTGGTCAAATGGACCCAGAAAATCTCATGTTTGATTTTTAATTTATTCACAGCCATTCTGTAGTTACTGTAGTAAAACATTTAGATCATTTGTCTTGCTTTATTTTAGTTTAAAGGGATTGAATGCTGTTTTCAGCCTCTGCATTGGTACTGGTTGATATAGGGCTTCGGCAGATGCTTAAAGATGGAGTATTAGAATCGGTATCAGGACTAAAAAAGCTGGACCGGTAAGTAAAAGACCCTATCTTAATTGAATGTATAATTAATTTGCATGCCGACAGTGAATTCCTGATATCAGTGTAATATTATGCCAAGACAGGAATTATGTTGAAAGAGACAAAGTAGGGACTGAGGAAGCCAACTGCACAATGACTGAATTTGGCAATGTAGTCAGATGGAAAACCAAACAAACAACTCAAAGCAAAATAACAGATTAGTATCAAAAGCATATATAAAACATCAGTTAAAGGTTCTATATTATGCAAAATTGACTCTTTGGAGCTTTAAGCTATGTTAGAGTGTTGTTACCTCATCAAAAACATAGCTAAAGTTGTATTTTGTTTCATTCACACATGTTTGAGTAACCCTTTAGTCTATCAAAATGCTCAGTTCCACCTTGTGATTTAATGAAGTGGTAGTTTTCTTGTTAGCAGCTACCTTTTAACTTTAGTTCAGTAGAGATAGGCATTTCCAGAGTTGAAATCATCCAAATGATTCTAGTGAAGGTGTATGGAGTTTAAAAACACAGTAGAGCACTTCCGGCATTACCACATAACATCTTTCAAAGTGGAACAGAATGTGTTTAGTTTGATAGAAGAACTCAAACTAAATATGCAGCGTTTGAGTTTTAAACATGTGAGAACGAAACAAAACACAACTCCAGGGATGTTCTGATAAGGAAACAACATTAAAACAGAAAATCTTTAAATCTGAATAAAAAAGTACTTGATACATGGAGCCAAATGATACTGAATAGGAGCTTGTAATGCAGACATATGGTCCTTATTTGCATACAGTATTTCTACTCAGCCATGCCCCCGCTGCACATGTGTCCCGTTTATATTGGGGTTGATGGAAACTATTGTTCCTCAAACATATTGTCAACATTGTTTAAAAAGGCAGGCTCCATATGGCATCTGCAGCAGGATTTAAGGCTTGCAGAGTAAACATGAAGACTGCCAGTGCAATTTGAGATGGAGCGAGCGAGGAGCTGAGAAGAAGAAGCTGTGAAACATTGAATACCAAAGTCTTCGAGGAACCTGAAGATGATATGTCAGTGGCTAAATTTGGCTGTGTTTATGGCTCTGTGCAGTGTATGTGTGTGTGTGTGTGTGTGTGTGTGGGCAAATTGCTGTCAGGTGTTAAACTTATATCTCATGAGTTTGCCAGCAGGATGACATTGCACTACTAGCCTGGAGCAAAGAGCTTTTCCAGAGGGTTTACGAGTCATTAACGTGAGATTTTTCATGTGCATAAAACAGTGAACATTAAAGGTTATAGCACTGAGCTGCAGGAGCCTTCTCTGTGCATGCCATCTCCCCACTCTCCGCTCTGTAAACTCACCTGACTCGTGAAAAGAGAGGTTTTACGGCACACTCAGCAGGCCAGCTCCAGGCTGTAGTTCCACCCAGTGCGAAAACGCCACAACACTCGCTTTCCTTATTGCTACAAAGTTATATTTTATCCTATTCTGTAGGGGCTAAATATATGGCTGCTTACAAAGAGCCCTATGAGGCCATAAGTTGTATCACAGTCAAATGAAAATCACAAATATAATGTTCTCTGCAAACAACAGAGGCATTCAACAGAGGTCTTCTTCTTACCATGAGTAATACCTGCTAACCTTAGTTTATCCTTGGACAAACATAATCTGAAATGCACAGGATTTCTGTTTAGCTATTCATAAGTCAGCCTTCTCTCAAGTGCTAATGCTCCATCCTGTGATAAAATGTGCACTGTGTGCATATGGCCAAATGTGCCAACAGTGTCTGAGACATGGTATGAAAGGTATACTTTATTGTCAATGCAGGGTAATCTGTCCTCTGCATTTGACCCATCCTTCAGTGCTGCTGAGGCAACCCACTTGGTCATTGACTTTTTTACCTGGTGTGCATGTTTTGGGTTAATGGGGGAACCGGAGGGCCCATAGGAAATCCACCTAGACACAGAAGAAATACGCTATGTATAATGATGGGCCTTTATTGGGTTTGATGAAGATAGGGG